CTGGACTTTCTCTTCTCCTATTTTGCTCTTTTTAAAAGTTTACATTTTGAGTCTGCACTAGCATATAAGGAAGTTACCCTGAAGAACAGCAGTTTTATGATTAAATTCTTCCTTCCTTGCACTTCAAAATGTTGATATAATCAAAAGAAGCAGCATATTAAGCATGATTAAGAATATTTTTTAAAAGCCCAGATCAATAAATTCTTCTTGGATTTTCCAACAAAATGACAACTATGCCTTAAGCTGACTTTTAAATTTCTTGCTGAAATAATGAAAAACACAGCCAAAAATATGAATATAAAGCAGTTTTAATTTTCCTCTAGATATTTATATCAAAGAAATAATACTCATGTCCAAGTACTGTACATACAATATCTTTCTTATAAACTCTTTAGTTTAAAACACATGTACAAAATTGCACATTGCAGTTTGCAAAAAATCATAAATACCTTTTTGCATGTAAACAATTCCAGCACAAGGATCAATGTTATACATTCCAAAATGTCTAAGTGCCTGTTCAGAAAAAAAAAAACAAAAACAAACAAAAAACCCCACTGTGATCTCCATAAAGGTCCTAGTGTTACAAATCAACCATTAACATATTTCTAACTGATGTACTACACAAAGGGATACATAAATGAGCACAAGGCAAGTCGCCTTTTAGTCATAAGTACTTAAGACAGAGGCTTGGAATACAATTATGCTGCCATTTAAACCCATGGTATCCATCCCATAGTATTTAGTGGTAGCAGCATTGAGTTAATTTTTCCAAGATTGCCAATTGCAGTATGCCTTACTTTTAATTCTTAAACAAGCTGGCTACCACTGAACAGTAGGAATTGGAAAATTATTGTAAACACAGTAATCACCGTTGTATATTCAGTAAGTTACAGTATTCTCCTAAACACACTACTAAATTAAGAAAATGTTTTACATTTAATCAAGTGCAAGATGCCAACTAATATTGTTCACTTTGTCTCAGAAATAAGTATTTTGAATATAATACTACACAGCTTGTAAAAATAACATAAAAAGATTACAATGGACATAATCCTCAGTTGTATATTATTAAGCCCTGTAGCTTCTGTTTACATAAAAAAGTATCACCGCATCAGAAAAAAAAGCTGTCAGAAGTGTCCTTGATAAACCTCTCCTGACCAAATCCAGCAAATGAGTAGCTACTGAATTTTTTTTCACTATTACTACCAATGTTACTCCATCTGTGTGCACTGTCCTTGCCAGCACACCTGTTTGAAGAGTTCCCAAAAATAGTCAGGTTTAAAAAGAAGGGGGAAGTATTTCAGTATCCATACAAAGTCATCTTTTTTGTTTGTTTTTTTTTTTCTTTTTAATTTATTCAAATACTGTAATTTTTGTTAAATTCTTCCTGAAGCAGAGATTTTGAAAGGGTTTCTCAGAGGCATCCTCTATGCCAGCTAATTTAATAAGGCAGAATAAGAAGGTACATGCAAACCCAACTTACAAGAACCCAGGAGAGGATGTAGGCAGACAACCACCCACCAACTAGTTGCACATAAGCTGCTGGAAGAGCAAAGCCAAATCTGAACTGCTCTGTCTCCACCTTTCGTTTTGAACAGCTATCCTGAATGAGAAAGTTTCAGCGCCATGCCCGAAGGCCTAGGAAGAATTTGGATTTGGGAGCTGTAGGAAGTGGCAGTTTGCTCACACTTCTCCTTTTGGACAAAAAGAGAGCTTGGGGATGCTGGTGGTTACCCAGCAGGGAGGGGCTGCTTCTCCTTTCTGGGAGATCCCTTTGGTCTGTTGATCAGCATGCGGCATGACTGTAATCCCAATGAGGATCACTGGACTTGCATGATCTTAGCAGCAGCCCTGCAGGGCATTAAGCATTTTCTGCATCATGGAAGTTCAGCAAGAACCAGGCACCAGAAACCACTGAGTGCTTTCAAAGCTGGGTCTTATTGCCCAAGAGGTCACTCCTTTTTAGCTGATGAGAGTTAGTTGCTCCATTCAACAGGTGCAAAGACATACTGCTCAAAGAATGAGGGATTTAATCTTTCGTAGTCTACACCTATCTGGAGCTGTTTCTTTTTCAGGTGGTCCATTCTGAGTGATACAACATTCGCCATCAAGAACACCACACGGTGAGGGCACTTATGTGGTCCTCTAAACCTCAGAAAGATTTCAATCTTGGCAGCAACTGCAGGAAGAACAAGCCAGCCTTAGATGACCCCCTTCAGGAAAGAGAAACTGCCCCAGAAGAATGTCCTACAACTCCACAAACTGCAAAACGTGGAAAGCTCTAGAACTACTTCACCAGCAAGATTTATTCAGCAATACAGACACAGCCACCTTTCCTGGTAAGACCTGGTAAGATCCTGGTAAGGATTACCTTCAGACATCATAAATTAGAGGTAATCTAGCAGATTAACTTGAATTTTAAAGCCCAGGAGCCTCAGGACTTTTCACAGCAGAACAGCCCTGATACTGCCCTGTCTTAAGACCTCTACCCCTCTCTCCTTTTGACCTTAAGAAGCCAGTAGACCCATTCTTAATTAAGAAGAGTGGGAGTGGTAAGAATCAGTGCCCAAATTTTGGTGGGTGAGAGGCCTATGCAGACTTGGTCATCATTTTCTATTTGAAAGCCAGGAATTGCACAATAGTACATTGCAACACTTATTCCCTTCCCTTTGGTCCCTACAAAGTAGCTAAGCACAACTAAAGCAAAATCACTGGTGCAAGTAAGCGTTTACATTGACCGCTCACATGTCAGAACTGCTCTAAGTGTCTCTGTAATTAACAAATAGCGCTTTGCAACAAAGCAAAACAATTCCCAAGATTTGCTTGTGTTGCATCTTTTGTTCTGGATTTGGGTTTTTTTGGTTTGGTGGTGGGTTTTCTTTGGTTGGTTGGGTTTTTGTTTGGTTTGGGTTTTTTTTATTGGGGGGTGGAAGGGCACAGGGAGAAGGAAAAAAATAACTAAGCCTGAATATCTAATCTGTTACATACAGAGGAATGCCCAAGGGGCTCGCAAGAACTTGTTTTGCTACATGTTGAGCAACACCACATGGGAAAGCCTTGAAATTAGCACAAATGCTTGAAGACAGGGCGTAGCTGTCTTTTGGAGCTCATCCTTCAGGAGCCACATTTTATTAGAGAGCAGACCTTTGCATCATCAGTCAGCATTCAGACCTGGACTTTACTTGATGACATTTCAGTATGGTGGTTGCCATGGCTTTAAATAAATAAGGGTAAGTGTGAAATTACCAGTCACCAGACAAACAGGGAGGGGCACAGTTTCCAAAGAAGAGAAGTGTAGAAGACACTTAAGCAGTCATAACAACAAAAAAATCAGGTAAAAAGCATTGTGAAGAGCAATCTTAATTCTCTGCCACTTAAACACACATAAATATTACCATTAAATACTGTATCAGAGATAAATCTTATTTCTTCCTTGGATTCTTTGGTTTTTCTTCCTGTTGCTGATTCCTCCAACTATCATCTCTAACTATTACCATAGGGGAAGAAACAAAAAAGTAGAATTTATTCCACGCTTTTAGCCTGCTGGGAAAGTGGTATCGTACTACAAAGATATCACAGACATACCAACTTGTGCTGTGATTTCAGTTACAGTGTGCCCAGAAAGACTTTCAAACATGGGAAGGATTTACAACATCATTTTAGTAACTGGGACAAAATGGTTCAGACCGGTAATGACGCTTAGGCAGCATTTTAGGAATCCCTGTTCTAAAGGTGTCATCTTGCAAACTGTAAATAGAATAGGTGTCCTAGCTACTTACAGCCATAACTTATACGACATATTATAAATAACAAGATTATTTAACTCCCCAGTAGTCAGTATGTTCTCACTATTTCTGTCACCCTTCCATGAAGGATATTAAAAGACAGAATGGTTAAATCTGGAAAAAACAAGAGTTCAACCTCTGGCTGTGTTCATTAAGAAGGGCAAGATTTACAACAGTATCTTCTACTAGTACCTTTCCCTAGCAGTTACCAGGGAAAAAGAAGGAGGGTGTGCTAAATATGGTCTCTAGAACAGTCCATTATCTTTATTCTAGGCCACAACATTGCTTGTGTCCTGCATGACAAGAAAATCTGGAGATTTATGGAACAGACGTGTGGGAAAGGTTCTCAAGCTTAATGTTATCCTTCAAGAGGCTCAGCATGAACCACCAAACTATCTTTATAAGACTCATTTTTTAAGACTGTTCATTTGTTCAAGGTCAATTTTCCATGTCAGGCAGGAGGGCCACACATCCCTCAGGGTGGTGGGAAGCTTTCTGGAAAGGACCAGAAAATGTTATCAAACAGAGCTAGAGTTCAAGCTATTGGTCATGATTTTTCAAATGTTCATTCCATGGTGTGAGAACAGGGTTGCAGTGAGACACCTGACTTTTAACAGCTTCAGCTTTCTTCATCTATGACAGAAGTAATACCACAATCTTGCTGATTGTAACTGAACAGTTGCAGATGCTTCAAGTTACTTAGCAGAAATATTTTCAAATTTATTTAAATACATTTCAAGGGAAGAGTGAAATAGGACTTAATCTAGAAAAATAACCAAACTTGCAAAACCAAAGTCAAAACAAAGACTGCAACCAAAGTTTTGTTTGGTTTTTTTTTTTTTCTGGGACAGGATAGAGGGTCTGTTACCAATTTCCGGTAACTCCAGACTGTGTGGGCCTTATTTAGGTGCCTTAAAATTCCACCCTGAACTAGTTCTTAACGAATAAGTAACAGTAGACATATATCTTATCAGCAGTGTGCTAAATATCAGAATCTAGCAGTGTGTTAGTGCACAGTGAACTGGTCATATCTATTATCTCCATGTGTCAGCAAGGCTTCATAGTCAACCATCACTCCACAGCCTTCCTACAGAAACTGTAATTCCTCCAGAAAAGCCATTTAGCCAACACACATACTCCTTAAACTATTGCAGACCATGTTTGTTACTAGTACTAGAAATTGAGAGCAAAGCTCAATTTACAGCTAGCCACGCTATGGATATAGACCTTTTGATAACAGACAAAAAAGCAAACAGCAGGTAAGTAATTATATAGGGTGACTCCCTTGCAAACATTATTTATAATAATCTTCCCTTCACTTTGCAGTGAATTACTACATATGAACTGCAGCACTTCAGATTACATTAAGGCTAAATGTGACTTTAAAAAAAATGATTTTCTTGTGTTCATTTAGCATTACAGGATTTGACAGTCCTCCAATTTGACTGGAAGTCTGAAAAATCACCTTGCAATCACACCCAGAATTGCAGCTTAGTTTTATCCTGGGACAACTTGACCACAACAAAGAATATGAAGATGACCCATCGTGTACCACTGCAGCTAAGAAAATCAGTTCCTCTATTTGACCGTGCCCTTCTCTATGCATGCTTGTGTCTGTGCAGATCACCTTGACATGTGGTTGTGGGTATCTGTGTGCTTCAGAAGAATTTGTTGATAAAGTTTAAATCTGCTGGCTCTTCCTGTATCACTGGCTGGCACTGAGTTGAGAGGATGCTATCCAAAGCAGAACTCCAGCACAAGAACTCGTGCCCCTGGCAGGCACAAGACCAAGATTCAGTGCTTTTACATCAGCAACACACTTTTGTAAAGACTACCCAACAGAAAGTTGCATTTCAAAACACAGCGTTGGTGTGAAGATACAGATCCTATACTGGTTTCCTTCCTCTCCCCGCCACTGTTTCCTGAGCAGGACCCTTCAAAGACAGCTAGAACATGGCATTCTTGTTGACCTACATGCAGTGGACTGTTTCAACATCCAAGCAGAGATCTGTTTTGTGACTATGTTGATGCAGAAAGTATGCATATTCTGGTATGCAATTGCTTAGGAAAACTGCTTCCAAACTAAAGCAAGCAGCAAGGATCAATGCCTATAGCGAGTCAACAGGATGGTGTTTTGGAAAGCTGCCGTTGTTATAAACTATGTATATACGTTTCTAGACTCTCTTAGCAACACATGGACAAAAGCAGGTTCTCCACTCTGCACTCACTCTTGCGGTGTTTTTCAGAAACCTACATTTAGTTTGTCACATGTGACCACTTTGCACAGAAGTTGCCTCTGTCCCGCTTCTGAGTTACTACCACCCATTCTGAAGAGAGAAGTTTCACAGCATAGGCAGGATAAAAAGAGAGAGATCTTTGACACACAGGACAGAAGTAACTGGGAATTAATAACACCTCTTGTCTCCCATACTGTGCTATAACAGCCTAAGTCTCCATAAATTCAGATTTAATTCATCAACACTATGTTTCACCATGTGCAGTAGGATTAACAACATTACAAGAAACTTCAGATTCTGCAGTTTGACACAGGAACATTTATCATACTGCATCAGGTACAGTAAACCCTGATGCAGTCCCACAGCAAGTGACTGTGGCATTAGAAAGATCAGTCAACATTTGCAGCATTATTGTGCATCGTGAAAGCTTTCTCTTCAAGGCTTTTTATGCTGATACAGGTCTTGCCAAATGTTAAAAAAGGTGATTGACTGACAGATTTTACTGTCCACCTCTGCTGTAAGATGTACAGTCACTGCACACAATACTGATCAGATGAAGTGACCAAAGAGTGTGAAAACAGCCTAGGAACTCTTCAATACTCATTCTTGGTTACAGTAAAACTGAAAGCAAACTACTGGGAAAATTGAAGTGGTTTTGTACAAATCAAATATGTACACAGATATGTCCTACTCCAATTTGTCTACTTGCTAAACATAGAAACTAAGAGAAACAAGTAAGTAAAGAGCAAAATTATCCAGCAGCAATTACAGCTGCACATAAGAATAAACAAAAATGTAACTCATCTCTTTTTCTTGTTTAACTTACACTCCAAAAGCAGAAGGACCACATAAAATGCATTGAAAAATTACTTTTGTTACCAGTAGATTTTTTTTTTTTCCATATTAATTTCAGACATAGAGAAATTTTCTCTAAGAAGCTATTGGATTCAAATGGCCAAGACTTGGGTTATGGCAGCCAAGTCACTACTTTCAGCACAACTAGTAATTCAGACTTAGCGTGCATCTGTACTTTGAACACCACTGAACAACACTATACAATAATTTAGAAAGTACTGTTGAGCTATGTAAATGATTAGAAATTTGTTGCCAAGTAAAATTTCCACTTTAGCAGCTGCAAACTGTAGGTTGCCTTGGGGCTTAACTTTGGGAGGTGACTCCTTTGTCAAAGGTGAGACAGACGCAGTCAATCAGATATTTAAATGAAGAAAAAAGGATGCCTCATGACTCTTCCTTCAGTAATGATGAACCAAGATAACAGAGAATTGTAGTAGGGCTATCCTTTGATCTTGAACAGTGCATGATAGTCAATAGTAATTTATGACATACAGTGAAGAGTCCAAATCCTTTGAGGTATTTACCTCTTGCAAGACCATCAAAGGCTCATGACAAAAATGTCACCACCACCATCAGAATCACCCCTCTTGGTAATCAGGACTTATCACCCCAAAACACCTACATTTCTCGAAGTGTGCAAAGTACCTGTGTTTTCGGATTTGCTCTCTCATCCTGCCAAATGGGCTCGACCTGGAGTCACAGTGAAAGTTGCAAGAACCACTCACCAACCACCCAGCCCCGTCTGGACACCTTGTGATATTGACAGATTTCACAACCCATTCTGTGCTTGGGAGCAAACCAGTCAACTTTTCTAGTATTGGCATAATTTGAGTCAGTCAAAGCAGGGTACTTTCCCTGCACTCACAGCAGGCAGGGGCAGATTTGATGGGAGCTCCTCCCTCTGCCCAAGGAAGGAGTGAACAAGACTTCCCTCACCACAAACAGTCCTACTCCTGCTCCCCAAGACAGAAAAGATCTGATAACATTCGAAGAAATGAAAGTCATTTATGAATCAAACTATTTTGCTGTAGCACCTAAATAGAAAGGCACTTCACATCTAGATACAGACATTGGTTCGAGTGTGTTATAAATCTGCTGATGAGCAGCAAGCAAGATTTGCACAGGAGCAAGCATCCACCAACCAAAACATACAAAAGAAGGGGCTGCATCATTTCCAGAGCAGATATTACAGGTAGGGCAAAGAAACAAAGAGGGATGTTTATTTATTGTGGGTTCATACCTGGAATGCAAAACCAGATCAGAAGGGCATGAGGGTAGCCTGCAAATCAAGCCACACAGTGAGAATGTTTGTGAAGACTAGCAAAAAGCATGCAAAAGTATAAAAAAAAAGGAATATTTTTGAAGGATGAAGATAAGTGCTAAAAACTGCTGAGGTTCCACTGAAAATAAACTTGGGGGAGGGAGGTGGGTTTGGGGTTTGGTTTTTTTTGGGGTGTTGGTTTTTTGGGGTTTTGTTTTTTTTTTTCAGTGACACTTACACAGCCAACTTGCCTGAAGTTACTGAAAAGGAGCTACATTGATGCAAATCATATGAACAGTCTGGAAAATTTTTACCCAGTATCTATCTTTTAGGATCTCACAGTGACCAAAGATTTAGGCAGAAAATCAAAACCTGAAAGAAACAGACCTGAAAAATGCTGCAACAAACTGAAGAAAAAAGGTAGGGCAAAATAAAGAAGCCATATTTAAAGGTTTAGGAACACTGCGGGAGTAAAAGTCAGAGTACTGATACATTTTAGAAGACAGTAACAATCAAGCCTGACAGCTGCAGTAGGCAAGCACTCCTGAGTCTCGTTAAATTGGTTCAATCTGTTAAGTGTTTAGGCTGTCCAGTCATATCTCTACTATAGATGCAGCAACCTCTAGCAGAATCAACAGGGAAAAAACCCAGCCACCCCACACTATTCTCAGATTTTAGTCACAGTCAGTGTTAGATCTTAGCACATTAGATGTTAACACATTAGTGTTAATCTTAGCCTAAATACCAGACCAAAGAAGGCATTTATGAAGGTAACCTGTCACTCTACAGAAATCTTAGCACATTAGATCTTAACACATTAGTGTTAATCTTAGCCTAAATACCAGACCAAAGAAGGCATTTATGAAGGTAACCTGTCACTCTACAGAAAACATATTTCTTTCAGACAACTCTACTACCAGAACTGTAGCCTCTGGCAGAGAGCTGGAGCCACAGCCTCACTAGTAACCTCTTGTCAGTCATCATGGTAACAGAGTTCGCCTGTCAGCACTTCTACCACCTAACAGATGTCAGCTAGAACATAAAGCAGGCCATCAAAGAAGTTACCACATCTTTGAGAGGTTGGACGCAGGACTGCCCTTGTAGAAAGTTCAAATGGGAGAGAGGTAACGTGTGGTGGTTTCCACCATACTGAAAAGGGTGAGCTCATTATAACCCTGCCCGGCTATAGCCCATTATAGCCCTGCCCTTGGCTGGGAAGGGGAATTTCCTGTGTCTTATGGATCACCCACTTCTCCTTGGACATTTCTAATTTATTCTGACCAGAAATGGTAAAATAAGTAAAGAACAAGTACTGCACAGCTGCGTTTATCACTGTGCTGTGTCCTACCGCAAGATCTTTACCTAGCCCTATGCGTATTTGCAAATACAAGAACTGAAACAGCAGTGTCCACTCATGTAATTTTTATGAATTTTTCCAGGATTTCTTTAAAAAACCCCACCTCGCTACACATACAGTAAAGCTAAGCATCTCACATCAATGTATATATGCGGCAGCATTACCTCTCTGACCAGGGAAATTGTGTTAAGTGTGTGTGTGGGGAAAGTCCTTAACAGTTGCTCCAGTCTTGCAGCATCTTTGCAGATCGATGGTGCCTGCCACATAGTAAAAAACAGTTCTTTTTCACCTGGTTATTATATAACAGGCAGTGCTACAGATTCTGTGCTGTCTGGTTCAGAATGCCTTTAAGTCTTTAAACCTGTGTTAAGATCAAAATAACGTTTTATCTGTTCATTAGTATTTCTAACAGCAGAAGGTACTGTTACAGGCAATCATTTCAACCACTGAAAAAGGCTCTGGTGACATGATTAAACAGTTATACAATGATTAATATGGCTTCTACCTAATTTGCATATGCATTAAAAAAAAAGAAATATCCTCAGAGTA